ACAGATTCTCATTATGAATACAAATTGTTTTATTTGAATCGATCTGAGAAATTGTCTTATAAAAGGTTTGGTGAAAATCAATAATCAAAAAACAAAATTAATAAAATAAATCATAAACATTTGAAAGTAATCAGAAACATAATAGAAATTTAAATTTGAAGCATCTAGATTATTTCGTATCAACTAACTATTAAAATCTTCACTTTCTCTTTCATACATCCCTTTTCAGTCCTCGTGCTCCTTTATATCATTAATAATGTTGGTTTCATAAATATTTGATTATTCTCATGAACTATATACTCATTTACATTGTGAATACAAAATGTTTTGTTTGAATTTTGCCGTATAAAGAAAGTAATGATATTCATTCAGTAGCTATGCAATTTGATTAAGTAGCTATTATATTCATTCAGTAGCTATGATATTCATTCAGTAGCTATAGAATTCATTCAGTAGCTATGATATTCATTCAGTAGCTATAGGATTCATTAAGTAGCTGCAAGATTCATTAAGTAGCTGTAAGACTCATACAGTAGCTATACGAATCAATAAATAGCTATAGGATTCATTAAGTAGCTATGATATTCATTCAGTAGTTATAGGATTCAATAAGTTGCTATAAAACTCATACAGTAGCTATAGGATTCGTTATGTAGTTATGCTTAAGAAAATGCAGCAGACTATATTAAAAAAAGTATCTCTTTTGAGAATGAGCCGTATCATTCATAAAAAGGTACACATGATTTTCTGAATATCTGGGAATATAGATTATTAGCACACTGAGAGCTGAGGAATTTGAGTGCATTTAATTTGATTTTAATATTGGGGAATTGAGGAGAATTTGTCTCGAGTTGGTATTGAATGAATTTTTCGAAGTGGAATGTAAACCTGGCTAATTCATTGGAATTTTTTAGAAATTTTTGTATTGATTGGATTAGCAATATGAAATGCATCGAAGATCAAATTGCTTTACGAATGCAATGTATTGCAAACTGTTATCTGCCGAGTGGTATTTGATTTTAGCAGTTTGAAGGCTTTTGCGGAAATTTGTGGTCTGTAGAATTTTATTGCGTGAGATATGATTGAAATATATTTTTAAAAATTTTTTCTCTTAATAAAATTTTTTAAGGACTTTTACGGTTATGGACTAGTACGCATGGGGGATTATGGGGGATTATCTGACACCATAGTTAGATAGCATTGTCACCACTCTCCGTATGTAATGGCAGTATATTCATGTTTTTGCTTGCTTTGTTTTATAGTGAACCCTGGCTGTCCGTAAATTCTATTAGTCGGCGTATATATACCAAATTTTAATCTAAATAGATCATTTGGTTGTAAAATACAACATCGGTTATTTGATGGTGGTATTTGGAATGTTGCATTCATAGGCGGCGGAGCCCCTAGGCTAGGAGGGGCTCAGATATTAAAAAATTCAGATTTCATCACGATTGTGTGTTTGATAAACGTTCAAAGTCCCTATGATATGCATCAACGGAAACATTTTTATGTTATCAATAACGTTGTAATGCATTAGGCTGATGTTTTCAACAGTCTGTGTTCCCATTATTATGTAAAGTAGAAACATTTATCATAGCACCTACGAACGGCACGGAAAAAGAATGATGATATTAATGTTGAAAGTACTGTTGAATTGTTAAATGATGATATTAATATTGCACGTTTTAAATGCGACTTGCATTTATTGCCTGACTTTTTTTCAACTAATTATTTTAAACTTAGAAACAAATTTGGACTTAAAAACAATTTAAAAAATTCAGACTCTACGATTTACTCTATGTACAATCTATTAGGAAATGTATATTTCATGAATATTGTAAATTATTGCGTATATTTAACAGTTCTCGTTATAAGGGCTGCTGCTGAAGAATGCTTCAGTGTAATGAATAAAATAAAGATATATCTACGATCAACAAGGACAGAACAATGCTTCAATAATGTCCTTATACTTCATATTCATAAAGAAAAGATAAATCAGTCAGACTTAAGCAGCATTTTCTACTCTGATTTTTTGCAATAAGATCAGAGTAGAAAAGCCTTTTCTCGACATGAACAATATCTTTTTCTACCTACGACTGTTTTATTTGCTTTAGTCAAAATTTAAGATTTGTTATGCTTATGTTGATAATGAAATAAAAATTTTGATAGTGTCGTAGAATCTTCAATTATTCTGCAGGCATGTAAATGTGTCACTGCAGAAAAGTTTTTGGATGAAAGTTGTGACCACGAAACTTAAAAGTTTGCTTTCTCTCCTAATGTGGATTTTCTATAGTTGTTTAAAAAAATCTTTGAGCCCCTCCTAAACTGGAAACGTTCCGCCGCCTATGATTGCATTCCCATTGTGATAGATATCTGATGTAATTTTCTGTATCTTATGAGTTCTAAATTACTGTTAATTCTTGTTAACCATGTTACCAGTAGTATGTATGTTTATTTTACATGTTACATGTATTGATAATATTATTTAAGATTCTAATGTAACTAGTAGATTTTCAATATCTCTGTATAGTATCTGTTGTTTATATGCTTTGTTTTCCATATGTGAGAATATATCTACAATATAAAGCATCTGTTGAACAATTATTTATTAAAGAAAAGGACTTATTTAATAAATTGTGCTTAGATAACTTCAATGAAATGTTCTTTGGAATCGATTTGTCTAGTATTCCTCATTATTTACTCTTTATAGATTTACTTTTAGATACTTGTAATTTTATTGATTCCTATTATGTCTAAACGAGCGGAATGGATTAAGGAATTAAATGAACTTGATTGTCTCAACGTGGAGTTTTGTGAGACATTAACAACATCTTTTAACGTAAGTGATTTTTTTCCTGATCAACCTTATTTGGTAAAGATCTTTGAAAACTATCGAAGTAAAAAACTAAATGATTTAACGCTATTCTGGTGCGTGTTAATTTCATTTATGCATTGGTAAATTCTTATTCTAAAATCATCCTAAATATTTTTTGCTTTTATGAGTCTTCTGAATCAAAGTTATCTGACAAAGATAAAATGGAGTATACTAATTTAAAGTTGTATGGTATTTTACGTGGAAATTCAGGTATATGTTTTTCATTTTCTATTGAATAAGTATATTATTGCTTTTTGCATATTATCTCATAAATCCGGTTACATAAAACCTGTTAGAGAAGCTTATGATTTTGTTGAACGTTATTATAGAGAACAATTTATTGATAATAATAATAAATTTTCTACTACACGTATGGAAAGTTTAACTACTGCTAAACTAATTTCCGAATTAGAAATGCCGTCGGTAGGATTATACTGCTGTTTCTTTCGAATTAAAAAATACTTTATTGCGCTTTAGAAATTCATCTCATCTGATGAAGATCGTCCGTTGACAGACTTCGCTTTTTTTGAACCAAATTCAATAAAAGCGAAAGAAATACATCCTAACTTAATATGTGGCTTCAATGGAGTATATAAGTTGCAGCGATCAACAGCGAGACAAAACAATAATATTCACGATCGAAGCCTAACCGTCTTAATACTAACTACTGGGGATCGTTGGCCACAATTATTGGAGCATTTCTACGATGCACATCAGACGAATGTTAAGTAAAATTCTTTTTAAAATATAGTATTTTTTAAAATATAGTATTTTTTAAAATATTTTGATTGGTTATTAGGTTTATATGAAAGATTTCTACATTGGGTCATTAGTAAGAAGAACTTTGTTGAAGAAAAGCATGATATAAAAAACAACTTACCATCATTCGAGTATCTATTTATTACCCGTATGGAAATCGGTCACCATATATATATATATATATATATATGATGAAGATACAGCAACTTATCTAAAACCAATCTTATCGGCGATGCGAAGCAATCACAGTTGTGATGAAATTTCAACAACTATTCCATTTAATAAACAAACAGGCCATTTTTTTAGAGGCATGTCAACGGCGCAGCGCTGATTTAATCGAACGCATTGCGGCTATTTTTCAGAATCTTTTTGATACAGTAATGTTTTTGCAAGACATTGATTCAATCGATTTTCATCGTATTCAAAAGCATACTTTTGAAAAAATTAAGGCCAATTTTGATCGTAATTTCTATCAACAAAAAGATAATAGGTAAGTATAAAACTAATAGAGAAGAACGTGAAACTTAAAACAAATGTTCATCTGCGATTTTATTTTTCCTTGTTAATATCTCAGATGTTTTTTTAAATATCAAAAAAGAATAAGTATGTATATAAATCATTCACCTACTTTTTATTCTATGAGTGTTAGCAATAAATCTGTCGACTCTCCTTTTGTTACCGGAGTGTGTTCGAATAAAAAATAATGTTGGTAAAAGGATTAATTTTACAATGCATAGATTAACGTTTTGAAAAAAGCTTTCTGTAGTATCGATTTTCTTTCTACAGAGTAACTGTGAAATTATATAAGTAGAAAATAGAGAACTTATCTTTCAATGCCCTTATGATAATTATATGTATACATATATATATATATATATATATTTGAAATGGTTATTCATTATTAGCAATATTCATACAGAAAGTGGCTTATATTCTGATCATATTGATTTGAAAGACTTACCTGAAGTTCAAATAAAAGTGTATTGGAATCACCATTACCTTCGATGAAAGTTACATTGTCAGGAGCCAAAGCAGCTGTTCATATTTTTGATAAACTTTTATTACCCCAGTCAATAAAATTATTTAACACTGATACAAATGTACCTAAAAATAATACCATTAACGAATTAAAAATAATTGAACATCATGTCAATTGCTTCTCGATTAGTGATCTTACTCATAGTGGTGTATTTCATAGTAATTAATTTGATCAGTTTATAAATTACCAATATTTCATTGTTTTTATACTTTTAGATCATAAAAAAATAAGATTGATGTAAAGGAAGTCATATCGAATTTGGAAAAGAAATCGTTCATTAAAAGAGGCAAATATATTAAAGCTGGATCACGAGCAATTGAAAGTTGCAGGACTACGACAGCTCCAGCTCACGAACCCGGTTCAAACGAACCGATGAACTGTTCGAACAGTTCGGTTCAGTTCGAGAGAGCTATTTGAACAGTTCACCAGTTCGGAACTGTTTCCGAGCTGTTATAGTCCTAGAATGTTGGATTAAGCAATTCCTGGATGCATCTAATGATGAACAAATCTTATGTTTTCAAAGTGAATTGCATTACAACTACGAAATAACACTAAAACAATATTTAGATACATATACTAAAAGCATTGGTTGCAACTAGGGGTATGACAGTTCTCAGATCTAAGTTCAGATCAAATGAGCGAAAGAACTGTTCGAACAGATCAGATCAGATCTAAGAACTGTTAGGATCTACACTGGGATAATGTCTATGTCGATATATGCGTCTCTTATGGGATCTGATCTGATCTGTTCGAACAGTTCAGATCAGATCATGTGAACGGTCTGAACAGTTCTTTTGAACGGAACTAGAACTGAACTGTCATACCCCTAATTGCAGCAGCACAATGTTGTGTCAAAGTGGCAAAGAACTTTTAGAAACACAAAGATTATGGATTAGTCTATTGAAAGAAAAACTAAATGGGTTTGATTTCGATTTAACTTTCTCAAGTACGTATTTTGGTTGAAACCAGTTCGAATTTGTTTTGAAAGAATTGAGACTGTAAAAGGCAGGTGAATGAAGCTTTCCATTGGTATCAAGGGGGAAAAGGCGGATCCCGTTCCCTGGATCCCGGTGGATCCCATTAGATCCCACTGAATCCTGGTGAATCCCGGGATCCGCTTTCCCCCCCCTTGTGATTTCTATTTTAAAATTTGCATATTCAATCGCAAAAGAATAAGATACCAATATTATTTTCATTTCCTAATAAATTATTATTTTCGATAATTGTATCCTGTTGCACACTAGTATCATCTATAAAATGACTAGATTTATTGGGTGAATCCATGGAGAGCCATCCACTTTTTGGAAAAGTTTTTTTTTTCGATTTTTTTCGTTCAAAAGGCTGATCTCGACTAGAAAACACTTTTGGTCAAAAAAAAATATATATAGTGTCTATCAAAAATTCCGAGTTTTCGAGCATTTTCTCGGAACACCTATCATGAACTTTGATATATAGGGAAAATGGCATGAAATAGAATAGAAACTTTTTAAAAACAATTTTT